TAGACCATTCCTGATAGACATTTATCTAACCTACTCTTAAATATCTCCACAGATGGAGATTCCACAATCTCCCTGGGCAATTTATTCCAGTGTTTGACTACCCTGACAGTTAGGAACTTTTTCCTAATGTCCAACCTAAACCTCCCTTGCTGCAGTTTAAGCCCATTGCTTCTTGTTCTAGCCTCAGAGGCCAAGATGAACAAGTTTTCTCCCTTCTCATGACACCCTTTTAGATACCTGAAAACAGCTATCATGTCCCCCCTCAGTCTTCTCTTTTCTAAACTAAACAAACCCAATTCTTTCAGCCTTCCTCCATAGGTCATGTTCTCTAGACCTTTAATCATTCTTGTCGCTCTTCTCTGGACCCTCTCCAATTTCTCCACATCCTTCTTGAAATGCGGTGCCCAGAACTGGACACAGTACTCCAACTGAGGCCTAACCAGCGCAGAGTAGAGCGGAAGAATGACTTCTCGCGTCTTGCTCACAACACACCTGTTAATGCATCCCAGAATCATGTTTGCTTTTTTTGCAACAGCATCACACTGTTGACTCATATTCAGCTTGTGGTCCACAATAACCCCTAGGTCCCTTTCTGCCGTACTCCTTCCTAGACAGTCGCTTCCCATTCTGTATGTGTGAAACTGATTGTTCCTTCCTAAGTGGAGCACTTTGCATTTGTCTTTATTAAACTTCATCCTGTTTACCTCAGACCATTTCTCCAGTTTGTCCAGATCATTTTGAATTACGACCCTATCCTCCAGAGCAGTCACAACCCCTCCCAGCTTGGTATCATCTGCAAACTTAATAAGCGTACTCTCTATGCCAATATCTAAATCATTGATGAAGATATTGAACAGAGCCAGTCCCAAAACACCTGAGACTGCAGTTGTTTTCAAGCTCTCTTGTGTTGGGGGAGAAGCGCCAGGGTTTTTTTTTTTTTTGTCCTCCATTTTGTTTTCCTCTTCAAGATGGCAGCCAGCCTGCTAGTCACCATGGGTTACATAACCCTAATCTGCCCAGTAACCAGGGGGTTCATAAGGGGAGTTCACCCTCCCCTCAGGGCTCTCTCTGTGCACGTCATCAGCACAACCCACCGGTGCTAGGGCGACAGCTAGCAAGCTGTTTGGCTTTGTAGGCTGTCTGGGGCAGAAGCCAGCCTGGTTGCTGACAACCCTTTGTGGTGTAGCAATCTAGTTTCACAGCCGTAATGACTGCTAGCTCAGGGTTTATTTGTTTTAGTTAGGAGGCTGCAGCAGGGCCGGTCACACACGCATACGCACCATCTCGTCCTCCGGTCCACACACCGCACGCAGGACGGCGTGTCAAGTAGAGAAGAAAGGAAAAAGAAGACTAGAAGCAAGACGACTGTCCACTTACCTGGGTCTCTGCAACCCCGTCCCATGTCTGCTTGTTCCTTTCCCTCAACCTGGAGATGTTCACCTACCTCTCTTCTCTGGACATCAAGACAGTGGTAGGACTGCTTAAATCATTCCTGTTTGGGGTTCTGGCCCCACGCCAGGCTTCATGTGTGACAACTGGATCTTAGGTTTGCTTTCTAAATTTAGTATTTTGTTAAATAAAACAGTTATTGCTTTAGCTGTTTTTGTTTGACTTGATTAGTGCGCAGTGATACAGATATGGTGCAGGTGTAGAACCTGTGTCCCAATAAGCAGGATTCAGTCCTGGTCTAACACTTGTGGTAAAGGAGCTTGTGGGTACCCTCTGGAAGAAGTCCAAGTGCTTTCTTCCTGGGTTCGAGAAGAAAGGGGTTTTTCTTCTGTGTCACTTGGTTGTGGCAGCTACCCCCCAAAAAGTCAGAGAATCTGTGACGGGGGAGTTTTTGTAAGCAGAGCCTATAGAGGAAAGGTATTTAAGGTCTCTTGCAGGCCCCCATCTTCTGCACTTGAGAGTGCCAGAGTGGGGAACAGCCCTGACACCCCCTTTCTGGACAGAAAGTCACAGGAGAAGCAGAAAGCTAATTGTACACATAGGTGGTACGAGCACTTTGTTGGCCTTAAATCAGGAATATTTTTGCCCACACTCACATAAAAAGAGTGACTCGGGGGCCCCCTTGAGCTGCTCAAGGCTCTAAGCAACTGCTTAATCTGCTTATGCCTAGCACCAGCTCTGCTTGCACAGTTGGGAACTCTTCAAGTGGAAAAAGACCTAGGGATGTAAATGACTAGAGTAGTAGACTACCCGATAAGCTTAGGCTTATTGGATAGTCAAGTCACTACTCGCTTCCCCCCACTTGCTGTGGGGGGGGCAGGTGGGGGCCAATACGCGGTGGGGGCAGGGAGACAGGCAGGAACCAGTGCTGGTAGGAGCCAACTTAAAAGCAGGTTCCCCCCAGCACCGGCTCCATGGTGCAGGGGAGGCAGAGCCACAGCGGTTCCGAAGCTGGCGCAAACCGGGACTGTTCAGTCCCGGCTCGCGCCACCCCCAGGAGCTAACCCCACTGCGACTCTGCAGTTTAAATGTAGTAGGAGTCGGGCTGCCTGCATGCCCAACTCCTACTACATTTAAACTGCAGAGCCACAGCAGAGATAGTGAGTGCCCCACTTACTGACTAATCAAGTAATGGATGGAAATTTCATCGACTACTCGATTAGCTAATTAACCGCTACTTAACATCCCTAATAAGACCAGGCACGAACCACACTGCAAGCATTTCAATCCTGTTTAATTAGTTAATGTTTGTGCAGGGCTTTGAAGAAGATCAGAAGTATTATGATTTCTTTCATTTGTCCCACTATGCATTCTTTAACACAGTGGTCTCCAACCTTTTTAAGCACAAGATCACTTTCTGAATTTAAGTTAATCCAGGATCTACTGCAAACCCCTGCCCCACCCCTTCTCCCAGGCCCTGCTCCACCCTCCTCACTCTGTGACGATGGGGTACAGGGGAGGGGTACAGAGTAGCATCAATGCCCCCCCGCCCCCCACACACACACGATAAGACCAGGCACAAACCGCACTGCAAGAATGTCAGACTGGCTTAACTAGTTAATGTTTGTGCGTGGCTTTGAAAATCAGAAATATTGTGACTTTTTTCATTTGTTTCATATGCATTCATTAACACATGACAGATACCTCATCAAATGGTTTTGTGATGCTGGTTTCTAACTGCCAGTCCATGGTCCGCCACACCTTCAAGCTTCGGTCATCAGCCTGAGAGGCTATATATTTCCCAACAGGATCCCAGGTCAATCCCTTCACCAGACCAGCGTGTCCCTTCAGAGTAGCAAGAATTTCTGTGGACAGCAAAAAATTAACAGAACATCTGGATGCTACCTTTCTCTTAAAAAGGTTACTTAACTATAGACAAAAAGTCTAGTGGAGATTCCTAGGGGACTAGACTAGAGAACTTCTTGAGGTCCCTTATAGTCCTATGATTCCCCAATAACTCTTCTACCCATTTCAAAGTGAGGCTTCCAAAGATGGCAGCTGCTAGAGACATGAAAGGTTAACTGGTGGAGGCTAGAGCAGCCCCTGCCTGCAGCAGGGGACACTGCTCCAGCCCAGGGGAGCAGGTACAGAAACAGATCACAGGAAAAAAGGAATTCCTATAACTTCTTCAGGATTTTTAATATATATCTTTCAAAACAAGTCGAAAGAGATAATACAAGTGACTGTGATGTTTATGCAAAATTAGCAGTACAATCTGAACTTTACAGCTCTTTGTTGCAGTGTTGTGATCCACTTCAACAACTATGACAACGGCTGAGCAGAGGTACAGAAACAGATCACAGGAAAAAAGGAATTCCTATAACTTCTTCAGGATTTTTAATATATATCTTTCAAAACAAGTCGAAAGAGATAATACAAGTGACTGTGATGTTTATGCAAAATTAGCAGTACAATCTGAACTTTACAGCTCTTTGTTGCAGTGTTGTGATCCACTTCAACAACTATGACAACGGCTGAGCAGATTCCAAGGTATTAGTCACTTAGTAAAGGCAGGACGCAAGCTCCAAAATGCACCCTACCTGTTCATAGTCCATGAAAGACACGGATACTAAAGGAAGTCACTTTTTGTCACTGAGAATTATATTTGCATATGCATAGCTGAAAGTTCCCACCTGGGAATTTGACAGCATTCCAGATGACAACAGTATTATCCACACTGCAGGAAGCCAGCCAGGCATCATGAGGAGACCATGCAACATCCATGACATCTATTTGAGAGAGAGAGAGAGAGAGAGAGAGAGAGAGATCAATTGCAAAGACAAATTGCACTGGAGCTACAAATTGGTGGCCAAATAGATTTAACTAATTAGCGCAGCCCGTTCCAGAGATGAACTTACTGTACATGTACACTATCTAATTTAAGACTCAAAACTATGGCCCATATAAAGCAAATGAACCAAGGGAGTAAGAAGAAAGCTTTCCTTTGACTGAGCCACACTCAGAAGCTGTTCTAAGTCACAGACTAATATTCCCTTTGTCACCGAGGTGCCCTGCGCCCCCATCCGCAGCCAGATGTGACTCTCAGCCGGGAGGTAGAACAGAAGGTTTATTGGTTCCCAAAGATACAGCGTAGAACAGACTTGTTAGCACAGGAACCAGGAGCAGTCAGTACAATCCATCTTGGGGATGGGGGGCCCAGTGCCAGGGCTCTGGGCCCCCTCCCCCTGTCCCCCAACCCAGCTAGCTTCCCTGCATCCTAGCCCAGCGGAGGCTAACACACACACACCCAGCAACCAGTCCCAGCCCCATCTCCTCCTTTGTTCAGCTTCTAAGCGCAAAAGGTGTCACCTGATTGACTCTCCCACCTAGGCTCAGGTTGCAAGACACCCTGAGCCACTGCATATGTTCTGGGCTGGGCAGCCTTCCCTCAGTGAGTCTCACTCAAAACTCCCATCCCCAGCCGGACAACAGCGGAGTGCCCAAGGAAACTGAGGCACACACACAGTTACTACAGAACAGCACAGGACATTAGGAATCACATACAACATAAAGCCAGCAGAGTGAACACAATTCCCACTTCATCACACCTTTATATCACATTGAACCATTTATATTATTCCCATATTTAATATCAGATAACCAGCTTGTAAATAAAAACCATAAGCTATTTCACCTGCAAAATCATACTTTCATATTTCCATTCCCCTCAAGGTATTCTTTAGTCAAGTCTTATTTTTAACTAGGACAGATCATTTAAATAAACACAATCAAGTTAGATGTATCGATGTTACTAGAGATGATTTTTTTTATTTTGCTTTTGACAAAAAGCATTAAATATAGAACACGATTATAAATTTCAGCCATTAGATTCCCCATTCTGGTGATTTTCTTTTTATTGAAATTCTGTTTTTCCAGTTTCTTGTAATCTGTGT